GCCAGTGGTGGTAGGTCGATAAAAGCCTGCCGTTGTTTTGATGGGGAAAACCTACAATTTTGACCGCAAGATGAAATATATATTTGTCCCTGTCGAATTTTTACAAACACCTGAGATAATCGTTACGCACCAGGAGAGGGACATAGATTTCTTCGTCCGCACCAGTGAACGACCGCGCAGGCCGATATGGCCTGTTACGAGTGAACGTGTTAATAAAAATAGGTTGTTAAGTCAATATTACTAGTTGAATGAATGTAACCAGATTTGAAGATTTTTACATTAAACAAATACACGAAAATTCATGTTCACAAAAGCTATTTTCAAAAGTTGTTTGATAATATGTTAACAATAATTTTGTATAAGAAATACACAGAAATACAATATATGTGTGTATTTTCATAAAAACCAGAAACAAACCCTTAAATCTTGCCTAAACCACATGCCCATTTTCTTGGCACGTATAATATTTATGTGGTCATTTTTTACACGTCACCCGAAGCGACAAAAGAGGACCCGTGGGTTATACATAATCCTTATAACGTTGTACTTAGAAATACTACATTAAAACCTGTTTGCACTGTAGATTTTTAGATGAAACTAATGTCGACTTATATAATATAGTTTTCTATGTATTTCTGTGTTACTTTCATTGGGGTTAGCCGTGTTCGGGAAAATGATTTTCAGTATATATTAAATTTATTTCTATAAAGTTACGCTCTAGAGATTTATATCTCTTTACAACGATTGAGTGTTTTTTTGTAACATAAGCGAATACATTTTTAAAATTAGAAATTATCGCTATGTGTCTAAAATTTCAAAAAGCTTTGAGAAAAATTGTCATAAATAACCGTGTTTTGAATTAATGAAATATTTTATTTGTAACTTAACAGGCTGAACCTATAGTTATTATCAATAAGTATTAGATTCCCCAGAAGTAATTTAAAAATAAAATAAAAAATAGGTTCTGTTTTTATAGGATTTCTTTCTGTTCTACTGCCTCTGAGAAATCAAACAAATTCTCGTTATTTTGTGTTCGAACTTACTTAGTTTCAATAGTTAAAATTATTTATGTATATAATATATAATTAATAATTATATTTCCATTTCCGTAGCGAAGTAGGTAATGCTGAAATTCTGTGTCCGAACCCGCACGCACGCACGTTGCTAGATAGAGAAGGCTGATCACCAGCTATTCGCCAACAGTTCTCTGTAAATCTCACATTACTATCGGGCCTATTTAGGCGTAACATAAAAAAGTCTATGCTTAAAATAAACTATGACAGCTTACAACAATCCTGAGGTGGAACACAGACTCCATCGCTCCGCTTCCAGTCATAATTGCAAATACACCCAGGGAGAAAGCAAAGGAGGGCCCTTCTTAAGGTCTTCACAGGTTCTCCAACACACTCCTAGGGTACAATTTACGTACACCTCGTTCTCAGGGCAATCTATAACTGAGGTGGAAATAATTTCACTAACGAGATATTGAATTAAGAAGCGACTGTATAAGTTCTGCCTTCGTGTCAGCGGTAACGCGCACTGTGTATAATCAAATTCCAGAGTGTATAATAAATAAATATAAAGCAAGGATTACTTTTGTAGAGGACGGCAACTCTCCCGGCGTAGAAAGTTCATGAGCGGCAGTGAGAACTTTATTCAAAGTGTCTGGCCCATACAATTTTATCATCTTTGTACCTCTGAATGCTAGAATATTCTTGTTTCGTTAGGTTATCCTAATTCCTAAAATAACTTTTGTGAAGATTATCAAAAATAATCATCGTGCTCGAGCGAGAGAACTCACGGTGCAATGGAAGGACATGATTCACAAAGACGTCCCAGTTGACACTTGCAAAAGAGTCCGAAAAAGAATGGATTTTACACCGCTAAGGAGACTGTTTTTTGCTCGTGATCATTTCAACTGGACTTCCGATCAGTGGCGTAGTAGTATCATTTGGAGACGAGTCCAAATTTGAAATGACAGTCGACGATGAAAGGAAAAAAGTGACTCGGAACAAAAATGAGGCATTTCATACTGATTGTCTCAAACGCAAAGTGAAGTTTCCGGCGTCTCTTATGATATGAGGCTGCATGTCTGCACAAGGTGTTGGTGGTATGCAGTTTGTGGATGGTTCTATCAATGATGCAAGGTATTAGAACCTTTTGGAAGAGGATTTACTGCCCTCAATACATAGATATAAATTTTAAAAAAGAATAATAATATAAACACAAGATTGATCTTAAATGATTTGGAAAAAATCTATTCATATAACTTTGCCGGAATTATGCCCAGTTCACAGCGTACTAATTAGTTACGGTCTCTGATGTAATTTGTCTACGGAAAAACCATGCATTAGCAGTTGATAAATAATTACATAGTGCTGTTTGTATTATCAGTAATGACTGGAATCAACAAATAATTGACCATGCATAATTATGGGATTTCCAGTATACAGATAACAGATGATTTTATTAAAAAAATAAATCAGTGGTTCTACATCCTTTTTAGGTCTGGGCCTCAGATTTCTGAATCCGTTTCTTGATAATTTGTTAATCCAAAAGGCAATTAGGTAATCAGCCTCCTGTGCCTGACGCACGCTATCGGCATTTTTGGGTCTAAGGCTGTTTTCCGTTGCATGTTCCGTTAAATTTTAAATTCACACATAGAAAGAAAGTCCATTGGTGCACCGCCGGGGAGCGAACCTAGGACCTCAGGGATGAGAGTCGCACGCTGAAGCCACTAGGCCAACAATGGGGGTTTTTTACTGTCCCTTTATCGAGTCACATAACGTTTTATTATTTTATTTATAATATCGGTTTTCTGTTCTATTTTAACTACCTTTACCTTTACTACCATGAAGAAAACTTAACAGTACCGGTTTTATTTGTTAAGCAACTTTCTGCGAATTTTAGGCATCTTAAATTGACACATTTTCGTTCGAATCACGGCCAATGGAATTTTCTAATTGCGCAATTAGCTACGGTGATGAAAAACATGAGTTGGCATGTCTTAAACCCTAAAATCGATGACATGCAGGCACCTACATGCTTTTAAAAAATGATTATTAACGATACCGACATCTCAGGCCTTCTTTGTTTTATTATGCTGGACTAGGAACCTTTTATTTATATATTTACTAAACTTGAAAAGTGGTAGTACTTTATGTACCTAGTTTATAGCGATATACAGGGAGGCCAAAAAGTGGAATTATTGACCAACAATTACAACCACAGCTAACTCGCATTACACAATAAAAACGTACCTTGATCTTTAAAAGATATTTTAAAAATATTTTTTGATTATTGTTATTTTGTGTGCTACTGTGTGTGTGTTTTGCGAGTAATAATTGTTATGTATATGTCTATGTCTAGATGGTCTTGGTGTCATATAGGGCAATACATTAAGATTTATAGTCTCCCTATACATACAGTTGAAGACTAAGGAAAAACATCGTAACATAAAGAAATGTATTGATTGGAATAAACTATTTTAAATCTGGGTATTACCGATTTCAGTCACGTACAAAGATAACACTTCTCTGCGCAATTAGCTTTCCTAATATCGCTAAGTGAGGAATAAAAGGAAAGTGATAAAATAACCTTAATACAACGATGTTACGGCAACATGCTACGAATTTATGTCTCCCATTTATGTCTTAGGTTTGTAATGGATATAATAGAATAAAGTGTGGAGTATTTTTATATCATATGTAATATTATTATTTGAATATTTGTGCAAAGAGCAGTGTTGGCCTAGTGGCTTCAGCGTGCGACTCTCATCCATGAGGTCGTAGGTTCGATCCCTGGCTGTGCACCAATGGATTTTCTTTTTATGTGCACATTTAACAACGCGGACGGTGTAGGAAACATCGACAGGAATTCGGCTTGCTTTAGATCCAAAAAGTCGACGGTGTGTGTCAGGCGCAGGAGGCTGATCACAACCTATTAAGGTGTGGGCCTCAAATTTCTGAATCTGTTTCATGATCATTTTTCAATCTAATAGGCAAGTAGGTGATCAGCCTCCAGTGCCTGACACACGCCGTCGACTTTTTGGGTCTAAGACATGTCGGGTTGCTCACGATATTTTCCTTCACCGCTCGAGCGAATGTTAAATGCGCACATAGAAAGAAAGTCCATTGTTGCACAGCCGGGGATCGAACCTACGACCTTAGGGATGAGAGTTGCACGCTGAAGCCACTAGGCCAACGCTGCTCTTAGTTTTATCTAAGACATTAAATTATTTTCTAAGCTTTCAGGTACTTTATTTCAACAAGGATACGATTCTTACTATTCTACTAAAATAAATAAACTAAATACTAGATATATTTAATACTAACATACACAGCTTTTGACGATTTTTTATTAATCTTATTTATTTTATAAGCTATACATCTAATGATTACGTCGGCTTAAAACTAATAACAATGTTGCTTAAACTTTAAATGTTAGTTTAACAGTTGTGATTACTACTTAATGAGTATTTTTATAATACGAGTATTCAGATATTAGGTTCAATGAGTTGGAAGCTTACAAAACTATCACTATATTCTGCAGTGATCCTTGAACTTAAGATTTGATGGAGAAATAAGAGAAAATCGCCAGTAGAGCATCGAGTTTCCTTTAAGAAATTCAACCTAGATTGTTAGTTGATTTTACACTCGAGAACTATGTGTAGGAGATCCTCTTATCTCTCGCGTCGTGTATAGTTTGGATCGTCTCTGTTTTTAATGATGTAGTTAATAACAATAAAAAAGACATTTTTAAAAATATTTAATTTTATACAAAAGTTACATAAATAATATTGCACCTCAGTAGCGTTTATTGTCTTTTCTTATTGCACTGTTGCCTTTACTGTGTCTGAAAAAGAAACAAATATAAATTAACAAAAAGTCGCGTTACGCGGCGCTTTTAAAAAGGACGCCATCTTGACATAACTAACGCGCCAAATTAAAATTCTTAATGACAAACCCAATAACAAGAATAATAGTTGTATAAAATATTTATTAAGATTCTTTACCACAATCTTGATAAGGCACACAGATGCCATCTTTGTTTCTCAACCAGTAATCTTTGCACACACAGGCGGGCATGTAACAACCTGGGGCTAATCCAGCGCATCCTGGAGGAGTGTTGAGGTCCGTACAATATTTCTGACAAACTGCCAACTCACATTCGACATATTTTTCGTTAACTGGACAATCTGTAATGGAGTGATTATAAAAAAATAGAGGATGAAACCTGAAATGTCTATAAATTATAGGTTAATTCCCAGTTGTACTACTAGAGTTTCAATCATATCTATCCGAGTCCAATATCACATAAGATGGTAAGTAAATGAATGAATGAATGAAATCTTAATTTCTTCAAAAAACTTAGCTATGTGCAATGTACATCTTTTTAATGGCATGCAATTATGAATTAATTAATATTTAACAATGTTAAAATCTTGGCATCGTTATTATGTGCTCGGTTAATTTATTATTTTTTAATCGTATCAATACAAAAGGCAATTATTGTTCGGACTCAAGCGGAAACTTACCAAAAGCGTCTCCCTTATCCATGGTCATAGCATTGATGCTAACAATACAGAAAATTAAAAGACCAGCTTTTAACGACATGATGAAAGGCTTGTTGATACTGGCAATATTTTTTCAGATTTATCCTTTTATACCTTAGATACGATGTTCAGATTTTCCGTTAGTAATTATGTTTTATAAAAACAAGTTTTTTTAGCTCAACCTTGGTATTAGACAAGTGTGCATAACGGAAATAAAGGTTCTTTCCCCACTAGTTAAGAGAAATATTTTCTACTGTGACATTTGAAATTGAATATTTGAATATTTACCAGAATAAAAAAAAAATCTGGTTAATTGTACGTATGCATTTAAAAAAAATTGGAACCACAATGCACTAAAAGTTTTGAATAACAATATTTCTTATTTCAAGCAGTGTTGGCTTCAGCGTGTGACTCTCATGCCTGAGGTCGTAGGTTCGATTCTCGGTTGTGCGGCAGACTTTCTGTCTATGTACGCATCTAACACTCGTGAAGGAAGGACTTATATTTGAGCCGTTTATTATTTTCCCCCTGCACTGCGGCCGCACCAGCTTTTTTGCTTATTGTCAAGAAAATTAAGAGATTTAAACTATAATAAATTATTTATAAACGTGGATCAAATTATACTTTTACTTAACTTATTTTTTTTCAATGTTAAAAATATATAATCCGTTCAAAGCGGCCGTATATTTTGTCGACAACGCTTCTAAACAAAAAAACTTACCGAATTAAAAAAATAACATTGTCATCACGTCAATCAGACTAAAATTAAATAAAACCAATCAATTCAGCACATTGCGTTTATTAGTATCACCGTAGTGATAATAATTCTTATACTTTGACCTTCTCAAGGACGTCCAGTCTATAATATACAATATAGTTGTTTTCGCGACTATATAAAGTGCGACGAGGATAAGATTTGATTAGTGTTATTTATATACATAAAAATGGCGAACGTAATGCCTCTTTTGTTTTTGTGTTTAGTTGCGACTGCGCTAGCATCCGGTGATACAGCGAAAGGTATTTTTTTCATATATCGATGTGTAGCTTAAAAACAAATTTGAGGTGTATGTAGCTTTGTATACATATAAAAGTGCATTAAAAGGTTTACAGGTAACCATGAGTTATGTAATATAACATTAGTTAAGTTACATATATAAATTTTTGTAAATAATTTGAAGCGTAAACCAAATGTTAGCAATCATCGCTCACTTGAAGACAAAATGAGTCCTTTAGTTTTTCCCACACTCATAAATTGTAATATAACATTCTTGTTTCCGACAATGTCCAAAAAGGTCGTACTACACTTGTAAGTTCTATTGAAGTGTCACTTAGATTAAAGAACCCTTAAATAAGCCAAGTTAGTTTTTTGTTAGCGTCGCAACCCCACTACCACTAATATTATGTTAGTTATAAGCTCATATTTTAAACGATTAAAGCTAGTTGACACCCAGCTTCATACAAAGAGTTTCATTTAACATATATTTGAACATCACAATAACCGCCACCGAACTTAATTCGTGTGAATACTTTTTTTGTTTTTGACGTTTAATAGGAGACATTTGTTTTATTAAAATCTATCTGTACGAGCCTGTATATTTCGCTCACTCAGGTTTTCTTAGTTTTACTCGTATAAGCGCGGCGATTTCGTAAGTAGTCGGAGTTACACCCCGAGAGTATAGCCAGACACAGGCACTCTCTTAAGCATTCAATTCAAAGGCACTTCATTAAAGGCATCGGATTTAATGGCATTTAATTATTTAGCATAAATTTATTCTTTGTTGTACGTGAGAAGTTAATATAGAGTGAAAATAATAACCTCTATTTTTTTAAAGCATCCTGTTGACCCAGGAACTGTATACTATCTCTGAGAAAAGGTTGCATTGGATACAAATTATAATAACAGAAGTATTGTAACAATGCCACCTTATTCATTGAATCTAAATAATAAGATAGTAATCTTTCGTCACATTCAGTCAAAGTGTGCTTACACTGTGATGGAAAGAGACAAGTGACTACTTTTGTTAACTTTACTAGTAAACGGTGCCATTACACTGACTTTTGAATGAATACGGAGGTATATATTTGTTTTACGGCGGGAAAAATAAAAAATATTACAGATGATATTTGGTTTGAAAATGATTAAATTACACTCAAATCAATACGGATTAAATTATTTAACTATATACTTTAAGTATCGATGGTATAGTGGTATAGTGCTAGAGTAATTTATAAATATGTATTTGCATAACATTAAACTTTCGGAAACCTAAATAATTAGATAATTGGCGGCAAAATTGTTGCAATATGCGTGATATGCAGTCAGGGCTGGTACTCTATAGGTCTACGGTCTATGTTCTCTATAGTAATAACGATATCAATAGCGATAGATTATGATAGACCTACTGAGTCTTGTACAGCACGAACCCAAGGTGGCGACAGCAGTGCTAAGGTGAATATATTGAGAGAACTACATCGAAGTTGAAAGAAATACTATCAAATTTCGTACAAATCTCCATATCCTCTACATCTCCAACTCAAATTTACAGTTTGTCCCGAAAATGAGGTCTTTGTGGAGTGCAAGTTGGCAACGTGCTGGAAGACATGCCAAGAGCTCAAAAATAGAGGACCCTGCCCGTCTATAGCAGCTGGATGCGTGGATCCTGGTTGTGTCTGCATCAGCGACTATCTCCGAAATGATGAAGGCATTTGTGTAAAATATGAAGAATGCTGTGAGTATTCTAGAAGTTTGGTGACCTTTGACCTTGATACTTAACAAGACTATAATTGCTTCGAGGTGGTGCCAGAAGGCTGATCACATAAAAAAACAATGATGTGAGCGAAAAAAATGTATCTACATTGTTTGATTAATTCTGAATTTGTCCATGGGTGGTATCACTTAACTTCAGATGAGTCTACTGCCCGTTTGCGGCCTATTCAATAAAAATTGCAACTCAGTCCCACATTGTTTGTAGCTAAGGAAGTAGAAAAACTTTAATGTTTATTATTTTTTTACAGAAATAAAGACCGAATTAACGGCAGCGACCAGAAGAATACAAGTACCTAATAATTACCTATATTTTGTATTAAAAAGATTTATAAAGTATTTTAATTTATTCAAAGAAATTCCCGTAAAGATGCCCCTTAAAACCAGTGGTGCTACAACCTTTTAAGATTTGGGCCTTAGATTTTTGTATATTTCGTGATCATTTGTTATTTTCTAATAGACAAGTAGGTTCAGCCTTCTGTGCCTGACACACCCGCGACTTTTTGAGTCTAAAGCATGCTGGCTTCCACAGGATGTTTTCTTTTACGAATGAGAAATGCGCACATACAGAAAGCATCTACGTGCGCATTCCGGTGCTCTGCCGGGGTTCGAACCTCAGGGATGGGAGTCGGACGCTGAAGCCACTAGGCAAAACACTGTTCTGTGAATGGTAAACAGACTAAAAAACTAGGAATGAAATAACACACGCAAGGTATTTTGTTTTTAAAATAAAAAAAGCGATTATTTTCCTAGTTTGACATTCCTTTTATGAGCCATCGACAATAAATCTCCTGTATATAGATGCAGGTGCAGATGTCACCGTAATTGAAAAATAACTTTTAAAACATGAAGCTTAATGAAGGGAGTTAGTATTTTCGGTTGGCATACTTAAAACATGGCGTGAATTTTATTTAAATTAGTTCGTAGTTCGTCATAGCCGTATAAACATTTATCGTATGTTGAAGAGGGATGTATACTCAAAGAATTTTAATAAAGCCGCTTACAAAGAAAAACTCAATTGAAATATGCAGAATATGTAATACTATAATCACTACATACTATTCGAATAACAGCTCTAAATATTGTATTTATTATATTCCAACACATAAATATACAGTATTTACAATATTCTTAATTTGATATTTTGGACTATGATAAGATTGAGCGCAGTCTAATTTTGGATTTTTGGGTATACATTAATACGTTTACGAATTTCACTTTTTATTTAATACTTTGTAGAACACACAGTAGACCTAGGGTTAATTTTTACGGTTCCATTCAGAGAAAAATCCCTTCTGAGTTTTTACGTAGCCTACAATTTCCATACGCGATTTAATAGTGATAGCCTTTGTTCAACTTTCCTTATGCAAATTAGCTCAAACCTAACAATAGACTGACATATAGCGAGTTTATATTGAGTTAACTAGGAAATTGTGGAAAATTCTTTTTGATATTAACGATGCACAAGATAAATAGAACGGTTGATACTAGATTTCATATATATTTCTCGTATTTAAAACACCATTTCAGATTATTTATTAGTTACTATATAACCTACACAAATTGTTGTTTTTATGTCTGACTTTAAAATTCAAATTAAACATTCATCATTTTAAGAACCCGCGAAAACGCTTCTCTAAGCAAGATGGCGTCGCACCAGTCCCTATGTCTTTAAATAAACTTCAAATTTTTAAATTATCATTCTTAAATTACTCAAATGGACATACATTATTTTTCGATCAAAAACAGTCGCCGACTTTAGGCGCCGGTAGTATTAGGATTAGACAGGCATATTATTTACTAGTACAGTGAGTTATCATCGATTTAACTAATCTGTGGCTGTTTTGTGTCAAGTGACTGACGTATAAAAATCTATAATTTTAATTATAGATTTTTTGTTAAATTAATAATTATTTACAAAATTATATATAAGTGTAATAACGCCATAACGCTTTTTAAAGTCATTTTTCATACTCTAAATAACACTTTAGTTTTCTTACTATCAAATAGCCCATTATTATTACAATTTGCTACAATGATCCATATCGTCCGCCTATCACTTACAGTATCACTTACAGTCAAAGTAAATAAAGATAAAAGAACGATTTGTCATATGAAGTGTATAATAATTATGGGTAAAAAATTGGGTGTGATACCGAAACGAGACTTGGCGCCAACTATGACTCCCGTATGTAAAAATCCATCCTGTTCATATTTGTATTCAGAGACGCTGGTCAAGTCAAGTCAGACTTGGGTAACCAGCGTGCTGACTCTTTTTATACCCAAATGGTTGCATATAACATGATTGACATTTCATATAGAAATCTGTTTTTTTTCTGATATTAAACAGTAGTGAGTAATTCGACGATCTGCTAAGACAATGTTTTTAAGTGTTTTAATATTTTTTTCGGTCACGATGTAGGCCGTTCATGGTAGTTTTTCCTCGCTTATACTGACCAACGTGAACCGTAGAATATTGAGGAGTATGAATCTCTAATGCTCCAATGACTTCTTCCTCCTCCTCTTCTAATGATTTGCTATCATCAATAAATTACCATTGTTCTAGCAGAGATATTTTATAACGCGCGAACTTAAATTTTACCCATTTTACACGTTCCGTCACGACGCAAACAATTGATATGATATCTTTAAAAAAGAAAAGATAATTTATTTGTCTGGGCTAAATACCTGCCAGGTGTATTTTCTTTTCAGGAAGAATGTAACGTACCTATTATCAATATTTATTGAAGACCCCTCTTACGTTACAGTGCTAAATAAAAAAAATACGTGTGGCACTCGGGGACTGCCGCGGTAAAGCTATTGAATAGCATTTTTTATCAACTTATGCAATATAATTATTTATTTATTTTTTGAAGTATTATTTTTTTGTTTGATATTAATTCAAGTGTTTTCTTTGATATTCATTCAATCTACCACTCTACCAGACTCAGACTAACACGCCTATCCGATCACGCTAAACCGATGTGAGACGCAAAATGCGTTCTGTCCCGCTCTAACGCGTATTGGCCGCACCTATATTACGTCATGGTGTGTTAGGTTTATTTCGTTACGGGAATACTTGATTCGGTCGCCGCGCTCAAAGCCCGCGATAAAATCTATGCGATAGCTTAAAAAAAATGCCTATGTGGTTAATGTTTAAGTTACGTACTTCTATTTTATTAGTTAAAAAACTTGTTTTAACTTTATATTGTTTTCTCCCTTTAGTTCTAAAATCAGAAATTGATGTGTCTTGCGGTTTCAGATTGTTTAAGATGTGTTTGCAATTACTACTGTATTATATTTTTATCTGGCTTTACAGATTAACAAAAAAGTAGCATTGTTATCATAACAAAAACAATAGAAGCAAAGTTTGACAAGAACAGCTAGCCTTAAAATAATGGCTGGTCTCACCCTTAGTGAGAGTCGATACTTAGCGCCAACTAAAACTTCAGTTTGTCTGAACCTTAGAGTCAAACAATGTAATGCGAAGTAAAATGCATATTTATTTTCATTGAAGCTATTCTGTAAGCTTATTTGAGTTTTAATTGGCTATGAATAGAGAAGTCTTATACAGTTAACATTCTATATTCATATTGCCGGAAAGCCTGCGGTACTCAAATATCCGGGAAAATATGACGTAATTTTGCATTCTCCACATTCAGCGGGGAACAGCGAAATTTTCAGATTGCAACTGTTAACAGATGTTATATTGAAAGTACAATATCGTAATTATGCAAATCATTTTCATATATTGGTTTAATGTAATTAACAGCGGATATTCTGAAAATTAACAAACATACTTAACTACGTGGTGAAGCGAAAAACTACTATTAAACGCTTTACTGTCTGTTTTATATTGGTATTGTTAAGTCGATTCATAAATAATCCGCAGTGGGAAGTTTCCATAATCATACTAATTTTGTAAGTATGGATGGATGTTAGTTATACTCGTATACCTATAGATGAATTTTATTGAAACTTTACAATAATACAGCTTAAACATCAGAATAACACACAGGCTACAATTTATAAAGATATTAAAGATAAGAAAGATATTGTGTGAATTGACCAAAATATGCAGTAAGTAGGAAAAAATCTACCATCTGCGAGCTATTATGCCGTGAGCAGCCAAAAGCGCTAGAGTTACACATATGTAATGTAAGATGGAAATGTTTATCTTAAATAGTAAATCACGACACAGTATAAATTTATATCTTAACTGTAAGCCATTATAGCCAAAATAGTAAACCAACTACAATCAAAATTTATAATTTATTTCAAATGCACATATAATTTCTAATAAATTAGAATAGTAATAAATTAATTCTTAAATGAAAATATATACTTTTATGGCTTCTGGTCTTTAAAGTAGATAGATATGTCTTTCACGCTACATCATTTGGACAAATTATTTTAATCCTGTGCAGACAGTCTCGGACACCGAGACTAATATGTATAACTTTTTTTTAATAACAACATTCTCCACCACCATGATTAGTTGGTTGTGAGTGGGGTAGAACCGTCGGCCCGTGAGGAACGTCGAAATCTTCACCATGCACCAGAGCTTCCTACAATAAGCCCAATCACTGAAGTTTGGGTCCAAAGGCCTCTTCGACAAGTTCATGAAAAAAGCAGACATTTGTGTATCGTTCACCATTTATCGGTATTTATTTATTTCGTAATTCTCTAGCTAACATGAATTATATATAACAAAAGCAATTATACTAAAGATATAGCCAAGGATGGAATACATAATTTATACAAAAATGTAAAAATCAATAAAACGTATTAATAAATACATTTAAAAAAGGAAATCAATGAGTTATCTATTAAGATAATGAAGCGTATATTACCCAAAAGAGTAAAATAAATTCTTGCAGTTTTATGAAAACAGATAAAAATGCATTTCACAGCTGCCAGAGACAACTCTAGACCACTTTATTCTATCCACAAAGTACTCAGTTTGTTGACGGTACTGTTATATTTTGAAATTCTCACCTTGCACTAAC